TCAACTATAAGAGACATTTGTATTAGGAGACAGTTCTAAACTAGAACAGTAGTTCCAAATCTGTAACAGACTTTGTAGAACAGATGTACAAGACTAGAGAGGATGTATGAGCTCTTTTAGAGAAGGTAGTACAGGTTATAAAGTAGAACTATGATTAGAAAAGATCTACAGTCAAGGATTACTAGCTTAGTAACAAAGTTATACTAGAAGCTACTAATCTGACTATAGATTGTCTAATAAAGAAGTTGGACAACAAGTACTTTAGACCCTTTGTCATTAAAAAGAAGGTTAGTGCCTCTGTTTATAAACTCTAACTTCTAGTAATATAGAAGTATATACACCTAGTATTTAACTAGGTTCTGTTGTCTTAGTACTATAATCCAGGTTTTCCTTTACAACAAAGACCTCTACTACCTCTACCAGAACTCATTAGTTCTAAACCAGAATATAAAGTAGAGTATATAGTAGATACTAAGCTAGTGTACAGAAAGCTCAAGTTTCTTATTTACTAGAAAGAATACTCAGTTGAAGAATACACTTAGGAACCTGTTAAGAATCTTACTCATACTACTAAGGCAATTTAAGACTTCTATCAACTTTATCTAGGTGCTCTGTATTAACTCTACTTTATAGATTTCTAAACCCTACTGTTTTAACTTATACCTGAGCTACTAACTAAGTCTAATGTTTACTAATTAGGATAATTAGTTTTAGAGAGAGGGTAATGTTACAATTCTCTACTCTCACACCTTTAGTTCTGAGGGTTCTACACTCTTCTATACTAGAACTTAGAACTTCTACCTCTTAAGAGTACTGTTTATAAACTATATACAGACTGACTCTTACTACTACCTCTCCTTACTTTATTATTCTGTTCCTTTGACTACCCTTTCATTCTTTGTTCATTCTATAGTCTCTTACCCTTTGTCTATCCCTTCATTCTTTGTACCTTTATCTTTAACCTTTCTTTCTTTCATTCTTTATAGCTCATCATTCTTAGTAACTTATATTCCCTAAGTACTCTTGTATAGTTTAGTATATATAAGTGTATAAGATTAGACTAGTCCTGTAGTCTTAATCTTGTCTACTCTAGATAGTCTTATACTCTTAGACTTACTCTATATACTCTACTCTTGTCTCACTCTCTCTCTCTGTCTGTTCTGTAAGTTCTGACTATATTCTAGTACTTACATTCTGTATTTCTATTATATAGGATAGTTGTAGCCTAGGTCTCCTTACTGAGCCTTTAGGTCCTCTCTACACTGTTACTAACAGTAGGGAGAAGTATGCAAATTATTAGCAAAGTTGTTCAGTATTGGTCAAAAATACAAATGTGTAAATGTAAAGGTAAAAAGAAGGCAAGTGTAATAAAAAGGAGGACAATAAAGGAGAGACAATGTAAGAGGTAGAGTAAGGAGTGAGAGGTATAAAATAGAGACAAGAAGTTGGGAGGAGAAGGATGAGCAACTATTGTACAAGCTATTATGAAGTAGACTGGCTACTTACACTTTATACTAAAGGACTGTGTAGCTAGCTAGGTTGTATTGTTACAGAATCTGAGGTTCAGTACAGGCAACACAGTAACAGATTAGAGAGACAAATACAGTAATGTTTATTGTTTAGGTGGTTACAGCTAGTGTGCCTGCTAGAGGATACTTATAGGCAGAGGACTGAGCTAGAGAGATCAAGAGTAACAACATAGTGTTGAGGGAAGAGGGTTAGAGAGATGGTGGAGGTAGGAGGAAAAGGAGTAACAAGAGTAAGTGTGTCATTATATGCACTCAATCTTTAGTACTCGATTATGTAATCACTTCAATATATTGTTTAAAAGTAAAACCAAATTATATTATAAGTCTAACAGAGTGATT